ACAGAGATCCGCCTGCCTCTGCCTCCCGAGTGCTGGGATTAAAGGCATGGATGGGCCAATAGCTCTTGATTATGTTTTGTCCCATTGATTTACTTATAATTTCTCTTCCCCCCCTCCAATTTGTAGGAGAAATTGGGCCATTTTTTTTTTTTTCTGAAGAGTTTCCCACTGTTTAGACTTTCCAGATTTAGCTTTTTTTTTTTTTTCGGTCTTCTTGAGACAGGGTCTTCCTGTAGCCCCATGTGTCCTGGAACTCACTATGTAGACCAGACTGGCCTCGAACTCACAAAGATCCGCCTGCCTCTGCCTCCCAAGTGCTGGGATTAAAGGCGTGCACCACCATGCCCAGCCCAGATTTAGCTTTTTGAAGTAGGTGTACATGCTTCTCTGTTGTCTTTCTTGAAAATCGCTAGTGGAATCAACAAGAATGGTCAGACTCAGGCCTTTTTGTACAGATGTATGCCTTGAGGGGAGGTGTGCCTCTCTCTTGTAGCCCCTGATCATCTCTCTGTTTATGATTTGGGCAGTTATTGCCCAGATTCTTTTTTTCAATAGAATTGCAAATGATAATTATAGCATTCTTTCTGCAATTATTAACTTAAGTGCTCTATAAAGAGAAACATTTCCTCTTTAACATTTATTTTCCCTCCTAGTAGAGTTATACAGGAAGGGCAGAGAAATGTCTGGTACCTTATCTTCCTGTTTTCAAAATAATTAGGTGGTTGGCTGTCATCCTTCAAAGATGAAAGATAACTTTTTACTTTAAACTCATGAGTTTAAACCTGTTTGGTATGTTTCAATCTGTCAATCATTGTGACTGATGATGTTTGTTTTCATGTTCAAAATGTATCCTTTTGTCAAGGAGAGTCTTTTTGTCTCCTGAGTACTTTTACACAATTCTGTCTGCTCTCACAACTTTCTTGCTTTTTAATATGAAAAAAGGACCCCAGGCTCATTGTTTTTCTGTTTTTTTTTTTTCCTCCCTAAAGAAGTTTCTTGTTACTTTTAATGAGAACTCCAGTCTGTGGGTTACAGATACATTTTGGCTTTTCATGGCCAAAGACTCTACTGCAGTATTATTGAGTCAGATATTCTTCTGATTGTCCAATTAAGTGGTTTCCTGCTTCTCAATTTAACATTGAAATAAGACAGATATATCTTTGGCATTAACTTCATTATTTCCCCAGAAATAATTGGGGACAGTTATATACATTTCAAAACCTGACACATTGCCTTTTAGAACAGTTCACATTGTACCTATAATACAGGAGTTCGTTTTCATTTACACCCCCTTCCAATTTGGTAGGTGTGAAACAATAGCTAACTCTTTAAATTTATATTCTCTGATTGCTGGTGAAGTTCATTATCTCTTTACATGTTGTCCTACGTATTTTTATACATAAAAATATTTTTCATTTCATCAAGTCTATTAATGCACTTCAAGTTTCATAAAAACTTACATCTTTGCATAATACTTTATTTTTACTATTTTAGTAGAAATTTCAAAAGTGAACATAAAAAGATACTATATAAAACATAGCGATATTAGATCTCACTTATCATGATCTTTTCTTTTTTTCTTTTTCTTTTTTTGTCTTTTTGGGACAGGGTCTTCCTGTAGCTCCAGCTGGCCTGGAACTCACCATGTAGACCAGGCTGGCCTCGAACTCACAGAGATCCTCCTGCCTCTGCCTCCCAAGTGCTGGGATTAAAGGCGTGCGCCACCACACCGAGCTTATGATCTTTTTATTTTTACCATGTCTTGATTTGCAGTGCAAAGAGTTCAGTGCACGTATCTCTTTTCAGAAAAATAAAATGGGACAGCATATAAGTGTATTTTCATAATTCAGTCCATTTTTATTTGTCAACATGTAGCATTTCTCCAAGGTTTTTCTTGTAGCATTTATCATAATTTTCCATAAATATAAAATATGTAGCAAATATATCAGTGATTTTCTTTTTGGTTCTTGGCCTCAGCGTCATGCTTGGAATCACAAAGTTAACCATTAAAGTCTAATGTCTATATTTTTTTGAAGTTTCACAGAATTCCTGTCATATTGGAATGATCATTATGCTCATTTTTACATGAGGAAAAGCAGACAGGAATTACTCAGTGTTAAAATTAGCCTGGACTCAAACTTGGAAATAAGAAGTAGAACAGCTTAAGGGAGAGTCCACAGATGTAAAAAAGATCTTGGTGCCGCGTGGCTGACAGGCTGTTACCCTTCATTTCATTTGGAATATGAGAAAAAAATTAGTGTCAAAATATTATTCTGAGAACTGGAGAGATGGCACAGCGGGTAAGAGCACTGGCTGCTCTTGCAGAGGACCTGGGTTCGGTTCTCAGCACCCACATGGCAGCTAACAACGGTCTGTAACTCTAGTTCCAGGGAATCAGATGCCCTTTTCTGACCTTCATGGGCACAGCATGACACAGGTGCACCTCCCTACATGCAGGCAATACACTCATACACATAAAATAAAAATAAATAAAATAGAAAATATTATTTGGAGTACTTTTTTGGATACCAGAATATTTTTTTTTGGATAGTGGTTTAGTCAATGTACTGATGCTAGGCCTTGAAGTGTTGTTTAATGGTCTGAAACAAGATAAGTACTGAAGTGAGGAACTGATATTTAGAACCATTTCAGTCACATGATTGCTGTGCCATCCTAGCCCAGGGTCTTATCCTGCCTAACGAGGTATTGTGGGTGGGGTTGGACTTATCTGTCTTATGTACCAGGAGCTGCATACTAAAGTAGAGCCGCATTTTGATCTATGAGAGATGGGAAATTAAAAAAAGATGAGCCTATTGAGAGACCTGCACTAAGTGGGTGCTCTGTGTACAGAGCCAGGGTCTGCGAGCAGGAGTCGGGAAAGATCTTGAGCTCTGACGCTCTCTCGTCTTTCCTATCTCGCAGGTGGTGTGCATGTACCAGACTCTGGGCCACCCACTCAGCAAACTCACCACACTTAACTGCATGCACTCTCACTTCATACTGTGTGATGACGGGACCGTGGGCAAGTATGGAAATGAAATGAAGCTCAGGAGGAAGCTGGAGAAGCATCTCTCTCTGCAGAAGATACACAGCAGTGAGTTCTGTCCCGGGCTCAGCCAAGGCGTCTGGTTGGGGGCCTGCTGATAAGCAAGATGTCTTGTTGTGATCTGTGCCGAGTAGAGAGACCCAAGTGGGTCTCTGCCTCACAGCAGTCAGAGTCCAGTTTATATGTGTGATCCCAAAGATGGAAGGAAGCAGGATGTATGGTATAGGTGACACCAGGAGAAAGGGAGAAGTCTTTGGAGGACAGAGTAGTCAGGGGAGGTTTTGTGTAAGGAGGCCTCCAAGAGAACGTAGGGCCAGGTAGAGGGAGAGTGGGAAGAGGGAAGAGAGACATTTCCATGTGGAGATGGGAATGGCTGAACAGTGATAAGGATGAACCTGGGAGGAGTAAGGCTCTGAGCTTTGATGGTTAAGGAGGACCAGCATTTCCTATGTCAGTCCAGTGACTTAGGACAGGGAAGGGGTTCAAACCAGATAAGGCTTTAGAATAAGAATACAGGTTAAGGGCTGGTTGTAGTGATGCATGCCTTTAATCCCAGCACTCAGGAGGCAGAGGCAGACCGATCTCTATGAGTTCAAGGCCAGCCTCATCTACAAAGTGAGTTCTAGGCCATCTGGGGCAACAGGGAGACCCTGTCTCAAAAAGATGAAAAAAAGAAAAAAAGAAACAAAAGAAGAGTACAGGTTAAAACTAGACAGGATTTTAGAAGTAAGGGTGTGGAAAGTGTCAAGGCTGTGTTGTGCCCGCAGCAGTGATTCAAGAAAGCCATTTGGCCTGGAATGTGCATGTATCAGACTTAGTAGTTCCTTTTGCAAGCTGTGTAGTCATGTGCTAGGGTGCTTGTCTAGCGTGTGAGAAGCCCTGTCCTAAACAGCACTGCAAACACCCTACCACCTCAGCAAAGCAGCAGCAGCACCACCGACAAGTGGTCATTTCTTGTTGTCTGTGGAGCGGGAATCTGGACAGGAAGGAGAGAACACTCTATGGACAGAAAGAGGGCTGAGTGCTTTCTGGAAAAATGAGACTTTTTACTCAAGGCATCACAAGCAGGTTCCTAGTTACTGTACTGAGTTGTATCTTCCATAAAATACCTGTACTTTTCAGGGGCTCAAGTTCTCTGCAAACTTTGGGTGTTGACTAGAAAAATGTTTTAGTTTTTGGTTTTGTTTCTCTGAGACAGAAGAAAGTATTGAAATGAGTGAGATGCTTGTGACCTTGGGAAATGGAGTTAGCATCTGTTAAACTTGTAAAACTTATAAATGGAAGGACTTGACTATCTCTAACTTTTGTTGCAAAAATTGAGAAAAAATATGTTGGATGTTGTCTTAGTTCTCTTTCCCTGTTGTGATAAAATACTCTGACAAAAGCAGCTTAAGGGAGAAAGGATTTATTTTGGCTCACAGTTCAAGGGTGTAGTTCATCAAGGTGAGGTTCAAGGCACAAGCAGCTTGAGGCAGCTATGGTCCCATCACACACAGCATCAGGAAGCAGAGGGCAATGGATGCATGCCACTCCTCCACTGAATTTGTCCGTTTAGTCCAGGATCCTCTGCCTAGAGAACAGACCTGCCCACAGTCAAGATAGACCTTCACACATCAGTTAATGCAATCAAGACAACCCCCGGGGACATGCCCCAGGCCCACAGTATTCCAGGTTCTCTCAAGTTGACAGTTAACTCTGACAGATATGGTTAGAATAGTGTTGAGTGCATGTTGGGTGCATAGTATGTCTTAAATAAATGTCTGCTTCTTCCTTTTTCCTCCATCATGGTATGGTTGTGTAGAAGTTCTTGTGTTTGATGCTGGTGTTCTTACCCGGCATGCTCATAAGGGGTTATGTCTTTGTATTTTCCATTTGCATATTTACTTTGATGTAATGAAAATACTTAAATATGTTGCTGATTTCTTTCCAAAAAAATCAAAACATTCTTGAACTTGCTGGCTCTTGATATTGGAAGAAGGTACTTACAAAAAATAAAGCAAAAATAATAAAATAAATAAAATATAGAGGTTCACATCATAGAATTGCTGTAGGAATCCCTGGCTTCGGTCATTGGCCATTGTAAGGGGCTAATAGCAGCTGTTTCATCAGCTGTTTTCATGTGAGGATGGGAAGCACAGGCCTTAATGCTTCTCTTTCTTCTGATAATCTCAGTTGAGTCTCCATGGAGGAGAGTGCCTCTTCCCAGGATGGCTATTCTAGGAACCTTTCATTTGGAGAAGCATGATCTTCTTGCTTCATTTACCTGGAAGGCTGAAGCAAGACAGCTTTCTAGTAAAGTTTCCCAGCAAGAGAGCTAGAATTTTTAATGTTTAACAGCAAAAAAAAATTTTATTACATTTATTTTTAAAATTGCATATATGATTGGGGTGCCAGGCACGCACTGTATACTCCTTATGTCACCGTTAGGAATCTCTTATTTCTTTATGATGAACATACTCAAAATCCTTTCAGGCAGCTTTTGATTTAAAAAAAAAAATCTTTTGGTCTTTTTGAGACAGGGTTTTCCTGTAGCCCCAGCTGGCCCTGGCATTTGCTATTAGGCCAGGCTGGCCTCCATCTCACAGAAATCCACCTTCCTCTGCCTTCCGAGTGCTGGGATTAAAGGCGTGCATCACCATGCCTGGCTTCTTGCAGCTTTTAACTAAGAAATATTAATTAAAAATTTTTAAGTGTGCAAGCGTTTTGCTTGTATGTGTGTGTGTGTGTGTGTATGTATGTATGTGCACCACCTGTGTGCCTGGTACCCTTAGAGGCCAGAGAAGGCCAGAAGAGGACATCAGATTTCCTGGAACTGGAGTTACAGATGGTTGTTAACTGTCACATGGGTGCTGGGAACTGAACCTTCATCTTATGTAAGAGCAGCAAGGGCTCTTAACCACTCAGCCATCTCTCCGGCCCCTCTTGTCACTTTTTGAAGTACACCATCCATTATTGTTACCGGTAGTCATGCTACTGTGCGAAGTCCTCCTGGAATTTCTTGAATTCCTGTCTGACTGTAGCTTAGTACCAATCAACCTTTCTCCTGCTTCCCCTGCTACTTAAATTTAAAAATTTTTTTTGATTTATTCTTATTTTATGTGTATAAGTGTTTTGCCTGCATTTAAGTGCACCTGTGCCTGCAATGCTCTCAGAGTCCAGAAGAGTCTGTCGGGTCACCTGGAACTGGAGTTATAGATGATTGTTAGTTGCCATGTGGGTGCTGGGAGTCAAACTCAGGTCCTCTGCAAGAGCAGACAGTGTTCCTAACCACTGAGCCATGTCTCCAGCTCTCCATTACTTAAATTTTATTAGTGCCAGTAAGATATTTTTTGAGAGTGCAATTATTTTTTAAAATTAATTAATTAATCAATTTTAATTTTTACAAAAACTTTATTGAGAATTTCATACATGTATATAAGGTGTTTTGATCAAATGCATGCCCACTCCCTCCCCTCCAACATTCCTCCCTCTGAAGAGGAAACCTTAAAATCTTTTAAGGATAAGATACAGGCTCCCAAATACTTTTGAAATTTTTGGCTTTTGGAACAGAGTATGTTGTTAACAGGCCCAAGGACATAAGAATAGGAGGTAGG